AACCTTCCAAGTAATTGTAATGAGCGTCTTTCTCCAACTGAGACGGTCCTTCTCCATCACATACTTCTTCGCTTATATAGTAGTTTATGCCAAGAAAATCAGCTGACCCTTAAACCAACGGGAAAGATGGCGATTTTGCAGATATGACGCTCATTCTAAGCGCCTATGTGAGGTTAGGCGCTGATATGTAAATAAAATAGCGAAGCTGGTTGGGAGGAGGGTGGGGGTGGGGGTGGGAAGGAGGGTCATGCAAAGCGATTTCATTGAAGCCTATTCACAGAATAAACAAACCAAGTATGAGTTGTAATGAAATTCATACTCATCTTGACAAGAAACGACGTAAAGGTTTCGCAAATTTTCGCGCATGGCTGCTGCCAATCAAGTTTGGATGGGGCGGCTCTGCGAGACGAACTCAGGAATCTCGAGGTCAGTAACCTCTAGTTCGCTGCGGACGGTTGGGCGTGTCAGGCAGTATGAGTGTGTCACCCGTCAAAGCCGTTCTCTGCCTTCTTGTTGAAGCGCGCATGCGACAAAAAGTGGTAGAAAACGAGTAATACGAACGATATGATACAGTCATATCATTTGCTCGCTTTAACAACTGGTGAACGGGTTTGGCACCGCGCCAAACTCATCCCGCCTGACACGCCCAACCGTCCGCAGCGAACTACACTATACCTATGCACTAGGGCCCAAAGTTCTGTATTTCTCCACCCATTTACGTCATCAACGACATTTTGCGGAACTAGATTGGCTTGGCTAATGGCTAGACTGCTGTGGATATGAGCAGTTCATGTGGAGAACGGGTAATCTTGGGTAATCATGCATCGTGCATTTAAATGGCCTATTAAGGTAGTCAAAACAGGGCAGTTGCTTGCAGGCTTTCTTACTCAAAACCGTCCATGGGACGGTCGAACTATGCCCCGCGGCCGTAGCTGCCTTATCAAGCCTCTGGCAACTCGTCCACATCCGCAAAACTGTTGGTTGACGCTATTAATTGCTCTACTTCGGCA